GCTTGACAGGCTGACAAAGAAAGATTTCCAGGGATGCTTCCAGGCTTGGCAGCGGCGCTGGGATCGTTGTGTTCACTCCCAGGGGAACTACTTCGAGGGTGATGGATGAATTTAATACCTGAGATAAGTGTACGGGTTTTTATACGCGCAGTCTGGAAACTTTCCCATCGCTCCTCATACATGTACACAGTAGATAATGAATTTTCACCAGATAATACTTGCCCATTTTATAGATAAGCATTGCCTTGATTGAATAGATTAATCTATGAGAAAACATTTTACGTCGTATAACGCAAACAAATTGGATCCATCATTAAACTAGAATCAAGAACATGAATGTTCATTAACACCCACAAAATACAGAGCAAAGATTTCCCATAAAGTCCCTATTTATTTTGTTGAAATAAAATGAATTTGGCATAAACAATGCAACACTAATACACATTTATTACTAAGACTTAAGTACTAGACTTCAGATGAGCTCCATCATTATCTCTGCAGAGCACAAATCTTGAGCTGCAATTCAGAAAACATTTTGTAGCATCTGTGAAATTATTTTTCTAACCTGACTTGTACACGACCTCATAAATAGACAGAAACTTTATTCTCACCCGGTGTAAAATCTATTTGTTTCCTCTGATGAATTAATTCTAAGAACCCCGCTTTAATCTGAGAACATTAATTTATCTGACCTCTTTTCTCGCTGTCTCGTCCAGAACGCATTTTCATAAGGTAATTTGTTTCAAGATACGAACCATGGATGAGCTCCGTCCCTGAAGATGATCACAGTTTTAGGGCCCAGTGGTAACAATTCATACAACCTGTTTTATCAATTAATATTTCTTGTGGTTTGTGTTAATGTTTTTCGTATTTTTCTCGCTGTAAACAGCGATTATTTCCTTAAACGGCGTTAACCAGTCGATCTTTGTAATGGCGAAGACTTGTGTTTTCTTAGCGGTACGGACTGAATTTTTAAATATTATTTAGACCAACTTCGACTTCAAAGGGTTCAGCTTGGATTTTAGGCCACCAAATACCATCCTAAAACAATATAAGATTTTTTTTCCTTCAATTTTGATGTTAAAAATTCAAAGATACAAATACACCAAACAAATTTGTTTCTATCTTTCACAGGATACATCTGGAGCTATGGTCCAGTTCCCGAAGGTAAAAAACATGTAAATCATATTAGAGCGTCTTGAAAATAATTATAAATTTGTCAAACACAGAATCTATCAGCAAATGATACATTATTCGTGTGTTTTGTCGCTCTTAAAATCCTCCCGAAATCCAGAGTCCAATCTGCAATATTCTGCCTGCAACCTAACCTATAATACGATCATTAAAAGCTTAATGACACTTTTACATTCACTGCTGAGTCTCTTACGAATTTTATAATTCTAAGAGTTCTGCTTCCATCTGTAGTTTGGAACTTGTACTAGAACAAAAGTGATGTTACGGATGCGAGCAGATTAACTTCTCGACCATTGTTTCTCTACGTTCTTAATTCTACCGACAGAATGCGCTTTTGTAAACACCAACAGACCAATGTATTTCTTCACACTATTTAAACTTTTCTATTAAGATTACGATAATTCTTAATATAAATCAAGGCATCGTACAGTTATTAAGACTTAATTTAACTACGTATTCAATTTAAGGAAGTTCTAAACAGATTAAATTACTAACATAAAAACCCGGTAATGATACACAATTACATTATTGACTTAACTAACCTCACACTTTATGTTATTCAGGATCTGGTGATTTTCCTGCATACAATTATGGTGCATCAGATGGTAAAGCGTATTAATATTACTATGGTAAGTATATAAGATTAAGTTTGTCCGCATACATCTCAATGTTGCAAACAGTAACATTTTAGCGTAATATCTTGAATTAAAACTAACTTACAGAACAGAACTCAAATATCACACATAATCGTGCAGACTTTGTAAAATAACACGAGAAGTTATTTTTGGACACCCTGCAAGACTTTGGAGCTATTGTTTTTTTATTTATGATATTTCAGTAATTAAAGTAACTTAAAGTTATGTAACAATGGACATGTTACTTAGACTGAGAAATGCAAATTCCTTATGAAAACGTGTACTTAATTTTCATGATTGAAAAGTGCCTGACTTATAATCAAAAATTAAGATTTAAACTTGTATTATGTATATATTATTTAAATCTTGTCCGTCTAATCACAATAAATTCTTATTAAATATTAAAATATTACAATAATTAACATTTAAAATATTTAAAATATTAAATGATGTTCTTTATCGAAATATTCGATTTACATTAGACCATGTTAATTATTGTAATATTTTAATATTTAATAAGAATTTATTGTGATTAGACGGACAAGATTTAAATAATATATATTTATTATATCACAATATGACGCAACTTTACCATCTCTTGTATTATGTAACAAAATTAATGCTCGTTATTACAGCACAAATTAATTTAAATGTCTTTTCAGGATAACTAAATGCAAGAGACTGAGTATTCTCATAAGAACCAATACGGAGACACGAGAGCTTAATAATCTGTCAGACGTTATACATTTTGAGGCGAATGTGGTTACGATAAAAATTTCGTCTGGTAAACTGTGTATGGCTAATTTTAAATAACTTGAATTTGTATAAATTTAATTTTCTTGTGCAGAATGTAAATAAATCATATACCCACATAATTTCTTGGTTGTACACATTCGTAATTGTTTCCCGGTTTTAAGTTTTGGAATTATCTGGCCACTCTTGTTGTAGAAAATCCTCCCTCCTGCCCCTCCCAAATCACGAGTCAACAATTAGGAATTGTAAATAACAAAGAATTTAGAACTTCGCTGATGTCACAATTGTTGGAAATCCATAGTGATTCTACCAGTAATTCGTTAACTGCGTGAATTTATATCTGACTTTTTAAAATGGACAAAAACAGCTTTGAAACTGTTTCAGTGCTTAATTTAGCGGAATTTTTCATGATAAATAATGTTCGTGATGTGGTTATTTTCTGTGACGGATAATTGAAGTGTTTAGTTTATCAAAGACAAGTATTACGAGAGAAATAATCTCCTTTAACAATTAAACTTTGTTGTTATGAATAATAAATACGTATGAAGCAGGCTGCGTGCTTATAATTATACAAATGATACTTGTTTCGGATTGCGTCATGGGTCCGTCACGTGACGTCATCAGCTGGCACGCTGCCCTGCCTGCCATCTATCTCCCCTACCACCAACTACCCACCCAGACGCTATTTGGAGTGACGTACGCATACGAACTATAGGCTTTGGATAACAGCGAGATTAAACATGTTAAATGCCTGAATAATACAGTTCGGGGAATTTTTGTAATCGTCTCAGTGCAAAGAAGTCAAATTTCATTCTTTCAGGGCTTAAATTAACGAAGAAAATCCAGTAAGCTCATGAGTTAATCGGCTTAATTTCTCTCGACAATTCATATATATACAAAAAAAAACTGGCTTATTAGAGAAATTTCACAAAATATGGAAGATTTTGATTCCAGAAGTCAGAAACGCATACATCATTGAAGATTTTAAAATAAAAAGTAGATGTGTTGTTTATAACATCTCAAAAATAATATCAGAACTTTATCAAATCTTTCTAGATTGCTCGCTTCAGCGATAAAAGAGCGTTTTGATATTGTGAAGAATGTTACCTTATATTTCTGTAATGTCATAGTTTGACTTTTCATGTATGTCTATGTTTTTTTCTTGTATTTCTGTCAATGCCTTGTTCCCTCCTTCGTACGTATTTTCCAATTCTTTTACACTCCCCTTTTCCCTTCAATAAGTGATGTAACATCCCCTCTTGCACTTGTCTTAAAGTGTTCCCTAGTGACGGATTCTAATGGCAATCGATTTAGTTAAACTTTCTTGCTTCGAAGTCGTGGACAGATTTAGGTGTGACAATAGATCCAGAAACCACCAATGAAAGTTTCATAGACGTACTGATTGATTTATCGGGTTTAAAGTGAAACTGTCTCAGCAGACGACGCAGTCATACAAGGCGACTGATGGAAAGAAAGCCTTTCACATATTTAAAGATCACTTCGAAAGAGTTCGTCACATTAACATTATTTGTCTTGCTGTAATATTTGTCCTGTGAATCTGGAAGGTCGTTTATTGATTAACATTGAGTTCTCGTATTCTCTGATTCAAACTCGACGGCGTGCGACTCATAAGAAGCTTTTAGCAAGGAGTGTGATACGTGAAGAGTCGCTCCATTACAGTGGCCACGTTTAATGTCAATGTTTAACAGCAAATTGTTAATCGAATAGCAGCTCAATTAAACAGCGAAACAAACTGATTACTTTTATGAGATGATAAAGTTGCGTCATATTGTGATAAATATATATTTGTTTAAATCTTGTCAGTCTAATCACAATAAAATTCCTATTAAATATTAAAATATTACCATACCAAATCGAACATTTAGATAGAGAATATCATTTAATATATTTTAAATATTTAAATGTTAATTATGGTAATATTTTAATATTTAATAGGAATTTTATTGTGATTAGACTGACAAGATTTAAACAAATATATATTTATCACAATATGACGCAACTTTATCATCTCATTAACTGAAAGGATTAAACTGCTCACTTATTATGAGAACCACGTGAGTACATCACATCCGGTGAGAGAGAACGGTTCATGTCGTGATAAAGGAAGTTACGTCACGCCATGACGCCGTAAAGTCATCGGTGTATGCATTAAATGGTTGCCCTAGCAACGGAGAAAACCGGACAATACACAGCCTTTGAGAATATACGAGTATGCAGGTGATCGTACTCTAAAACTGTTATTGAAACGAGGACCTCTCAAGAACATGGATCCAATAACTGATAATTCAGAATTCTATAGAGCAAAATACTTTTCATATAAAATATGTGTATATTTTGATGTCCAAATAACTGGAGAAAATTTTAGAGCGTGACAATACCAAAACAGCTGTATCATATTTTTAGTGTGTAATTATTATAGAAAGACGGTAATTAACATTCGGGTCCCATAAGAAACTGGACTATTATTTGACAAGACGACTAACAACTTTTTAAAGAATTCCCTACGTAATATAGCAAACAAGTATTAAAAAAAATTCCGAAAATTGGCCCTGTAACAATGTGAAACATTTTCTTAAACTGTGTTTTTGTCTAGAAATCCTACAATGGTTTTTGTCACGTTGTGTTGACATCCCATCTCAAAAGAATCCAAACGGAGTTTATTAGTAAAACTTATCAATTACTCATCCTACTAAAATTACTACACATTTAAAAATGTTTTCATTGTTAGTACGTATAACTTAATCCCATCCTTTCTAGTTGTATATTTTTTTAACGGGATTAAAATATTTATTCTCTAGAGCACGGTTTCTCGTCTGACAATTTAAACCAAAAAGAATTTCATTCTATAAAATGCATGAGATGGTAAAATTGCGTCATATTGTGATATGATAAATATATATTAAATCTTGTCCGTCTAATCACAATAAATTCTTATTAAATATTAAAATATTATAATAATTAACATTTAAAATATTTAAAATATTAAATGATAAGGTAGTATATTTGCGTCATATTGTGAATTAGGTTAATATTTTAATATTTTCCGTCAAATAACAATTTTTAATAAGATAATAAAATATATAATATTTAAAATATCATATTTAAAATATCGATTCGGAACGTGAAATGATATTTTAAATATTTCATATTTTATTATCGTATTAAAAATTGTGATTTGACGGAAAATATTAAAATATTAAATGATGTTCTTTATCGAAATATTCGATTTACATTATTTCGATAAAGAACATCATTTAATATTTTAATATTTTCCGTCAAATCACAATTTTTAATACGATAATAAAATATGAAATATTTAAAATATCATTTCACGTTCCGAATCGATATTTTAAATATGATATTTTAAATATTATATATTTTATTATCTTATTAAAAATTGTTATTTGACGGAAAATATTAAAATATTAACCTAATTCACAATATGACGCAAATATACTACCTTATCATTTAATATTTTAAATATTTTAAATGTTAATTATTATAATATTTTAATATTTAATAAGAATTTATTGTGATTAGACGGACAAGATTTAATATATATAAAATGCATAAAAATTCCCACTCACAATTTGGACAAAATTTATTTTAGATTCAACACGAAGGCGGATGGACGGTTACCACCTACTAACTAGGACTTGTTAATTAAGTGAGTTCATGTAGCACACGTCAGAATCGGCGCATTAATTACACTACAGCGAATAATTCGTACCTTTGTAAAAACATGAACTCACGTTGATTAAAATTATCTTAAAGAAAACCACATTTTATCTACACATCATTTTCGTATCCGAAGGCAATGGAAGATTTTTGGCAGGTTCGACCAAAAGGATTTTAGGAAGGGGGGGGGTTGCGTGTCTCTGCTGCAGGCAACTGAAATCAACATCACATTATCAGTGCCGCTGGCCCAGAGTCGCGGACAGGTACGCCGATGTTCGAAGGGGGGACCCCGTGTTACTGTGAAGTGTTTTGTGTTCAAGTGAGTGGACAGTGTTAAACCACGAATGTGAAACGTTTGTTACTGAATCCCGTAGCTCAGGTGTTTAGCCCGCAAATTTCTTATTTCCAAACACAATTCTAATACTAATGGAAATAACCCTAAGTCTCATTCCTAGACACACGGACAAGGAAGCGAAATTTATATTATTTATTTATATTTCTCTCAAGATTTATCGATTATCATATAAATAAATGAGAACACTCATTCTGATTGTTTTAAACACCAACAAAAATGTGTCCCATCATAAAAAACACGTATCTGATTTAAATCAGGCCTTTTATCTTTGATATCAATTATTAACCTATAATTTTTTTCTGAAATTACATTTGTACGGATGTTCATTGTAGTCGGCTAACACTGCTTTCAAGCATAAATAAGCATTGTTCATAACAGCAACAACAAAAACTCTGGTGTTCACAAAATTCTAAGCAAGAGACTATTAAGATTAATTATTTATGAAATATTCACTCATATCGACTGCATTAAAATTAATATCAATACTTACGTTTTCGTAATTAAAATATATTAATACTAACATTGAAAATATCGAACGATTGTAACAAACAAGTAAATTATGAGAACTGTTAAGACACGTATACAAATTTCCAATTAACATGGACGGCTTGAAAGGGGAACAACAGAAAACAGAACAAGACGTACGCCTTCAACAACTGGCAAATACAAAGAAACTTCAATTACCTACTTCAGTACTTCAGCTGTCACCTTTCGGAATGAAGGGATATTCCATGCCAACATTCCAATCTCCAGCAGGTTCAGTGCCGAAAATTTCCCACGAACAAACAACAAAACATAAAAATCCCGAAATCCACAAACCATTTACATTACCATCTATACACCAGTCCTACCAACGCCCACAACAAAATACTCCTCGTATATCAGAATCGTCCATAACCTCAACAGAATCGAGTGGTGTGAATTTGCCGCCGCTGTGTAACAAATCGATTAAGAGGCCGATTAGTAAATCGAACAGTAGTGAATCGAGTAGTGACCGAAGTTTTAGTGACACCAACAACAACAACAGAAACGTCGGAGTGGCAGCCCTGCCTGTGGAGGTGACAGTGTCCTCTCGCGTCGAAGTTAGGAAGTTACTTCCAGACAACTTATCGAATTCGTCGATGAAAAACGGGTAAGTTTCTGTTGCGTTAGCCGGAACATGGCTAAGGATCGATACTGAGAAGTCGATTATTGTATCGTTACTGCCGGAACACGAACATTCCTTGCCCTGAATCCGTTCAACTTCTTTTGTATTACAGACTGTTCATCTCAATATCTGTTTTACTATTTGCGTTCTATCAAATTTTTGTTTTTCTTTAAGTGACAACCATTTCCTTAAGTTCGTAATGAAACAACCTGTACATTTATTTCAGTTACAAACCTTTAGGACTGTAAATTTTTATTAATTTATCAGTCGGTTTTAAGTGACGTGTTCGAACTATCAAAATCTAATCAGATAAAGCAGGCTCGTCCTTTAGAAGTTATTCAATCAGGTAGTCAAGATATTCACCGCATTCATTGAACCCGCGTGCACACTTACAAAACTTTGCATTGAAATTCAAGTTTCACGTCTGTTAAAAGTAAAAGTTAAAGGTAATCTTAGGGGCTGAGAGGAAAAGCACATAAGAGACCTTCAACTGTTCATAATACAAAATATTATTCCCCTAAGTGTAAATTCTTTGTAGCTCGCTGGCTAATTTCGTGAATCGGTAATATATGTTCTATTGCCCACGAGCTAATGACGTAGGCGAAACTCACGCTCTGGTCCCGGGTACTGTACTAACTCTCGCTGTGACTACATTCTCTTCATCTGGCGTTGTTCCAGACATAAATTCAACGAATGCTAAATTCTTGTCCCTGAGAAATCTCCGTGGTAGTTACATGGTTTAAGTTTGCCTAAAACGTTTGTCCACAATTCGACTCGTATGATAATAAATTAAATTTATTCCTACGCCTAGCCCCCACGACGCAACACGCATATCAGTTACAGTTAAAACTATGTTATTAATCGAATCTTGGTTCTTGATTTAATGGTTTAATCGGTTTTACAGCGTTAAAGGTTAGTCTACGCCATGACGACTTCGAGACAGACTCTGCCACCTATTCAGTTGTTGTGGGGGTAAATATGCCGGAACGTGAAGTTAACTAATAGCTGCCCGAGCTCTCGCTGTACTCCCCTCTTCGACTTCAAAGCGTTGGGCTCAATTAAAGAGTGATATTTCACTTTAATAGTCTACAACAACACCGACAGGCCTACCACCACTGCTGTTACCACGAATAAAAATAAACATGTAAATAATAAATAACAACGAATGTGGAAAGTGAAAGGAAAATTAATCCCAATAATTTTAGGAGCGACTGGAACTGTCTCCGGGTCGCTCAAAAAATATTTGGCCAACATTCCGGGTCGAACACGACGTCAGGGAACTTCAGAAGACCGCCATCTTGGGATCTTCATACGTCATCCGAAAGACGCTTTCATAAAATAAAACTATATAATTCATGTGGCACTTACTAAAAACAAAATGGATCCCGGAAATACCTCAGGGACGAGGTCTGTCTCGGGTACATGGGAGTACAGTGGTGAAGAGATGGGATAATTCAATTGAATTCAATTCTTTTTATTATTAATAATAATTAATAATAAGGTCTAGAGGTACAAAGGTGACATTCCATGACTGGAATGAACAGATGTCGTCTGGTAACCGACAAAGTTGAAAATGTATTTGTTCCCTCAAATACACGTATGAGATTATTAGAACACGTGAGATTTGAAGTTCTGACGACGGTGGAGAAGTCGCTCCGGGTTGTGACGCCACGTGGACTACAGCGTAGATACCAACGTGTCGGAGAAACATGTCTCCAGGAAGATGGCTGTCTTTTGTGTTTTGTAGTGTGGCAGACGTTTACCGACGTTTCAGGAGTGTTCTTGGAGTCTCCACTATAGCCCTGGTGGTTGAGACAGCAAGGAACTCTAAAACGTCGATTGCTCGGTGCAACAACCCAAAAGACAGGCTTCAAGAATCTGAAATCTTACTCGACTGTTCAAGTTTTAAAACTAAACGAAGGTTCATTCTCTTTCCAGGTCGACAACTTCTACCTGTTCACTGCCGTCGATAGGATCACGACAACCGCCTAGAAAGAAATTGGAAGAAGTCTCAGGTTTCGTCGTTGTAACCAAACAAAATTACTTGAAACCCATTCGCAAAAAGCAGCAGAATCAGCAACGAGAACAGGAACACGATCCGGAAACAGAAATGCTACAGACAGTGACCGGAGGCATACAAAAATGCGGTGGTACCTGGAGCGAAGGAATAAACCAATTTCGACATATCTGTGATAAAAAAGAAAACAAACTTGGTCCGGTTGATGATGGAGAGGTCCAGAGGCATCGTGCCGAAGGCATGCGTCCGAAACTTCCGTCAAGTATATCTCGAGTGACCCAAGTTGCACGCCAGATGAATTCAGCTGAAGACAGAGACGACATCAAAGACATGCAGACCATAACCGAAGACTGCGTCGAGGGACAAACCCAAGTGCCCTCAGGTCGTTGCAGGAACAACGCGGATGGCTTCGGCAGTCAACGGCACTCTTCTGCGTTGGAGACACTTGACAAGATCGAAGCTATTGAAGGATGGATTAAGATATACGAGAGTGAATTTTTTACTGAAAGAGACAAAGAAACGAGTAGAAAAATAACAGTAACTCCGATAAAGGATGTAATTCAACGCAACAAAACTGTGGCTGTAGAAGAATCTGGACACTCAGCGATAGTTTCAAACTCGAATTCAGCTGAAATTAAAACGTCTACGGAATATTTGGACAGATATGTGGATGCGTTTGGATCTCTCACACAAAATGAGTGCGCAAGGATTCCGGAATGTTCTGGACATCATCCAAGAATCGAAACGTCACAGATGTCAGCCAACATTAAACGCGGCCAACAAGACTTGAATTCTCTCAAATACTCTTCGGCTGAATTGTTTGAGGAAAAGCGATTTGACCAAAATAAATCACAGCCTCTAAATCGTTCCTTACAAAATAATAACGCAAATGAAGAAGAGTTTTCAATTGAACCCATCTGCAAAGCCGTGCATGTGGTCCACCAACAACACGAGCAAAGCAATTCCTTCTGTTTCATGGCAAGACAGGATTCAAAAAAACATCCAACAAAATCTGGGAACAGAGCAACTCTGGAGGAAATAGAATCTATGATTGAGCCCAAGGTTCAAGAGTTGTCATCAAACAAAGAGGCGTCCTTGGAGAGAAAATCAGGTAACACAGGAGCGAAAACTGAACCAAACAGAGCGGATATCCACAGGCTGATACCAGATATTGTTCAAGTGAAATTAGGTATTGAAACTCAATCTAAAATATTAGACAAATTAGATTTGATGATGAAACACAGTGAAATCGCAGAACGGTGTGCTTACAAAGGAAGTGACACGGGGGCTGTAGTGGTTCCAAGTTTTGAATACTCACCCAGCGGACATAAAACACCAAACGACACGGGGGCTGTAGTGGTTCCAAGTTATGAATACTCACTCAGCGGACATAAAACACCAAAGAGGACCGAAAACATCGAACATTCTTCATGTGGGCATTTTAATTTTCCCCCAAACACATTTCATTCGAAACCCTCAGTCGATTCTGAATCTTCAGGGATTTTGGTGATGAACAAATCTCAAGGTCAGTGTAATGTAAGCAGTGAGTGGGCAGACGTTCGAGTCTGCACGCCGAAGAGGCACGAAGTAATCGCCGATAGCCAGTCCAAATCGCCCCAGCACGTGGCGAAGAATCAAGAATTTGGATATGGCACGTCGAAGGTACACCCGACAGGTGAGTACAGATTCTTTCCGCGACGAGAAATTCCACATAACCAAGCGCGTCGACAAACAAGAATGTCTACAAATGTGGAAATTATTCCGATGTCAAATTTGAAGAAATCCATCAAAAATTGGCGGTCCTACGATGTTGCTCAGTTAATAAAGACGAATTCTGTCCTGAAATGATAGAAGATATTTAGCTGGAGATACAATGCGATAACTCAGGTGAAACCTTTGCCGTTAATACTGAAATAATTAAAAAAAATGCTAGCAGGGGTGGGAGAAAAGCAAATCAGTAGGGCCTGACAGAATTTCTGGAGAAATTCTAAAACTGGGTGGGGAAGCCATGGCGCGATTATTGGACGTAACAATTAATAATGCCACTATACCACGGTGGTCTAGCGGTTAGAACGCTGGCCTTGTAATCCTGGGGGGTCTCGGGTTCGATTCCCGGTGGTGCCCGAATTTATAACTTGTGTTGGGCAAGGTCGTGGTCTAGGCAACACGGAGTTTTCCTCCGTGGCATCCCAACAATTACTCCATTCACACACAGAAGAAGGCAATGGCAAACCACTTCTGGATCATCTGCCAAGAACGTATATGAACAGGTCCCAGTCCGAGAAAAGGATGGAAGGATCCTGTTCATATGGACCTGTCGTCAGACAGAACACTAAATAATAATAATAATATATCAAAGGACTGGAAAAAATCCATAGTGGTTCATATTTACAAAGGAGGTGATCGATCACTGGTCACAAATTACAGACCGGTCAGTTTAACATCGGTGGTCTGCAAACAAATGGAAAATGTTATGGCATCGTACCTGAGGAAAATCTGGGAGGAAAAGGATTGGTTATTCGAGGGTCAATATGGGTTTAGGCCGGGATATTCATGTGAAATTCAAGTAATCACGGTTTGCCAGGACATTGCAGACACACTGGATAACGGAGGCAGGTTAGACGCGATTATAATCGATTCTTCGAAGGCCTTCGATTTAGTTCCTCACGATCGGCTGCTTATGAAAATCGCGGCCTCGGGCGTGGACTCGAGGGTAGTCGTATGGATAAGGGAAGTCCTTTTGGGCCGAACGCAGAGAGTTAGAGTAGGAGGGCAATTATCAGAGGAAGTCAGAGTAACGTCAGG